AACTGTCGACGCTCTTCCCAGCTCAAAATTTGTGTTCCTTCACCTGTGTTTACGGTTATCAAATTCGTGAAATGAAAATCTGAAGAGTCCGTGGCTATGGATACAACCTAACCCAAACGAAAACTTATAGCGTACTTATATCTGTAATGGTTTCATATCATGGGATTGTATCATACTTCCATCTTCCAGTGAACCCATCATATATACTTTGACAAACCGTGTAATGATGAGCCTAAGCAAAAGTGAAGAGATTTTTGGAACTGACTGTGCAAACGATTCTCCAAACTTCCGTTCATGAACTCGTATACCAGCATCCTTTCCCCTTTATCGACACAGTACCCTACTAAGTTCACAAGGTTCCGGTGATGTAACCTCCCAAGCAAAGACACCTGGCAAGAGAAAAACCCGGAGCTGTATTACAAAAACGCAATATCAGTACCCATTAACTGACATTCAAGGTTCCAATGTCATCTACTCCATTGTCCAGTGCCCGGTATAGATAAACAAAATCAGATATCTTTAACCAAGATTTTAACCGATTTGCACAATTGTAAGCTATAAGAATCTTCTATTGCTGAAAAGTTGAAAGTTTGCACCTGGATCAATAATCCATCAGGGACGAGAGAGTGTCAAAAGTTCTGGCCTTCTGGGTATATGACAGAACAGCTTTAAGGAGACAGATATATTACCTCAGTTTGAAATTCTCTGTCTCCTTGAGTAGAATTGGATGCATGCACCTTCACGGCAGTCAGCCCTCCATCAGGCATAATCGCTTTGTAGACGGGACCAAAAGATCCTTCCCCGAGTACAGTTGTGAAATTTTGGGTCGCTTTCTGGATATCCCTAAGAAGAATAAGAGCATATAATCAACAGCTAGCACAAAAAAACCACCTTCATAGAACCTGAAGAAGAATCATTGCCGAGAAAATCGTGCTTGCAGAGTTTTTGGGTCACTCACTTGTAAGAATATCTCGGTATGCCTGAGGCTGATACAGTGAGATCCTTGGTATGATGATTCCACCATGACTGACGTGGAGAAGCTGGTTGAGGGGATTTCGGGTTATCGATATGGTTGGGGATTATGCCTCGTGTGGCTGTGTGAACAGGTAGAACTGTACCACTCTGCTCACTTGCACATTTCCGAAGGTGGCCACTGTCCTTGTACCACCTTATGGCAAAGAACACAAGCACAGCAACCAAGAGACCAAGTGCAAGCCCAACCGAGATTCCAATGATTACCAAATCGCTTCCGCTCACCATTCTTCTGCTTTTTCTGAGAACTCGTGGGCTGATAGCATCATGCAAAGAATAAGTATGGATGCCTCCCAGTCACAGATGGTATAAGACTAATTTCTAAAGGATCTTTCCTGAAAGAAAAAAAAAAGATTTCATGACACGACAAGAGTGTCAAGGACAAAAGGCATTAGCTCATGAATCTCCGGAAAAACTTCTATTTCTCAACATGCTGCTGCAAGAAAAAATCATAAAAACAGAAAGCAGAGTGCAATCTAGCCTGTTTGTGGCTTCACCTATTATGAAGAATGAGGAATCAGTCATACATTAATTGCACCAGAAACCGGTAATACTAAAAGGTGTGCCATCATCATCTACATCACAAACACTCTAATAGATGTCTAAAACAGAGCATTTTTCCGCTTTCAGAGATGTCGAAAACTAGAACTAAAACAGCATTACCGTTTTTCGCATACCAGATATTCGTCTACAACTATTTGACAAGAACTGGGATGGCATCAATGACTGATACTTTTGCACAGGTTTATGCCAAGTCACAGTAGCAAAAGCAAACCAGTGATTCAAACAACGAACTGTTAGCACTTCCTATCATCAGGATTTGAGTATGAATCAGACAAACAAAGTGGCTGCTCTTCCTTTTATAGTTTAACTGAGCAATTGGACTGGCTTCTATGATCAGTGTTGGTTTGGGTTGATAAAAGATCCCACCTTCGCAGGATAAAATCCAAGATTTCACACCCATTATCACAAAAGGCACTTGAACAAAGATACCTACATACTCGAGATTGTTTCATTACACAAATTAAACCCCAAAACACCGATGTTCCATCACAATACCGAATTAGGCACAAGTAAGCAACTTTACTGATAATGTTCATGTTCCTCTCAACCAATCGACACCAATACCAGCAGGAAATCAGAATAATCAAATGGGTTCGATCAGGGATCGAAATACGTGAAACCCAGAATCAAAAACCTCCAAAAAGTCTAAAAAAACTCGTAAAGGCAAGACACTCCATAACTTACCGGGAAGAAGCAGATCAAGAACCAGAACACTAGGGTTTAATCTGAGCCCCAATTGATGATTTTCTTCTTCCACCCAAAGGAAGTCAATCTCCACGAGGATTGAGGGTTGAGGGTTGAAGGTTGAGGACCTCGTCCATCAACTGATGCGTAGGAGGAACTGCAGCATTTATTTTTTTTTCTTTTTTCTTTTTAAAAAATATCTTTTATCTTTTTTTTTTCGGAAGAATATTTGTTGGTCGAGATAACGCGTCATATACAAATACTTGGAAATATTTAAATATCATAATCTTTCTACTTCCTAATTAGGATATTTTTTTTTGGTAAAGCCTAATTAGGATATTAGAAATCATATTTAAGGCAAATTAGATTATTACTATTAGAAAAATTTTGACAATTGCAATATAAATGTATTTGCTAATTTAAGTGTTACAGTTCATTTCGGATAATAATTTTGATCTCTTTTGTTCATTTCGCTTTGAAAAAAGAAACGAAATGAATATACGTAATTATGAATTCACGTTATTTTCTTCTATATAACAAAAAAAGTGAAACAAATATTGTTATAATTAATGAATTTTAGTGCCGTTCATACATCTTTAATTCTAACTAAAAAATGAGATGTTCCTCGGAAATATCTTGATAACTCGTTTATAAAGCCGGTGGGAGGTACATATATATACTCACTATATACTCTTTTCAATAATCTCTCTCTCTATATATATACTCTATTCGGGAATAGATCAATCTTTTGTGCTCATACTTTACCGTTGAGGATTAATCTAAATTTATAAGGGTTAAAAGTTTCGATTCATATATTTGTACGTCATTCAGGATATTTCGTAGTTTATAAAAAAAATGAGTCCGATAGCGGATTGGATCGCGAACTCTAACTTGTTTTATACGAAGAAATAAGAATATATACGAGTCATAATATATATATATATATATATATATATTGTGGGGTAAGCAGAAAGGATGAGAGAAGCCAACTATATATCCAACCCCAAAAAAAAAGTGCTTTCAAATTAAGTTGGTGGTACAAGGAACAGTCCAACTAAATACACTTCAAATTTCATCGGTCCAATTTCATAATCGACGGCCTGACCAAATCCACCTTTGTTATATTGTAATCTCAAGCATATAAATATGTACATTTTCTCCAACATATATATATATACATATATTTGTTAAATAATGTGGGTGAACGGTAGTTTATATATTTTTTTTTCTCGCTACTAGTTCTTAATTAGAGAAAGATTTACAAATATTTTCTTTGGGATTAGAATGAAGTGTATACAACACATTGCATATATAGATTTCATATTATGGAGATATCGCATGCATGCATGTAAATGAAGAGGTGGTATTATTATACATAAATAACACGTTATTTTTATACAAGAGCATGAGGGAATTAATTTTAGATCCCGAACTTTATAATACCCCAAATTCGCATCTATGTGATTACATATAAAACATATTCGGTTCACAATAAAAGTATAAAAAACCTTACAGACGAACCTCACGTTTGCAAAACCCCCTAAATATGATATATGTGTACGCTTCGTGTTAACTACGTTTTAAAGAAAAAGGGTTATCAATTAACTTAATTAGGAATCAATATTGATTGATGAGCCCTTAAGCAGGGCATTAATTAATTGTGGATCGGAGACCTTTTCCTCGGCTTCATGCGCGACGGGTAGTCGTGCTTCATTAGGTTATCCATCTCTCTTTCCAAATCCGTCGGATCTGATGCCGGAGAGTGCTCGAGATCGTTATCCTTTTTTGGAACAACGGGTTTTGGTGAATCCTCGTCCGGTTTCAGATCAGCTTTAAACTGTAACAAGAGGCAGTTCAAAGGTCATGTAATAATACTCTCATGAAAGCGTGCATGCATGCATGCACGAGAAGTATATATGTATATACACACACACAAACAAAATCAAGAGTAAATGTTTTCATCGTTGCATACCTTCCGTCCTGTCGAGAAATACTTGTTCCCACTCGGCGCCGAAAGCCCGTTTTCATATTTCAGATCATCTATGTGGCCGTAAACAAAATACAGCAAAAAGGCATCATGTAAATGGCCTAATTAATGCTTCTTTGATACTTGGTTGAATCGATATATATATATATATATATATATATCCACCAAGAACATAGATTATTGATAGTTAAAACACATATTCAAAACATTTGAACAATATAAAACGTACATATACACGGATACGTGGTAATGATGAAATCAATACAAGAGCAGACAATGAGAATATCAAAAGCGGTAGATATGGTTTCCCGGGTGAACCTTGGAATGCATGAAGGAGATGCATCAAGAACAGAAACCCTAACACTAGCTTCACGAGCTTTGCGCCCATATTCTTCATCTCGTTGCCTTTTGCTTATATGGATTGAATTGCGTACAGAATCTATACAAGGAATATATATGAACTTGGAGAATACATATAAAGAGGTTTAGGGTTTTGAACGTGAATGGAGACCGTACTATATATAGAGATCGACTCTCGAACCAAACCAAGTCAAAGCTAGGGTTTCCGACAATTCCATAGGCAAGACAAAAAGATACTTCTCCTTGGTAATTGTAAAGAGTGAAATAAAATAATATGGAGGTTTCATATATATATATATATATATTAAAATAAACATAACAAATAAACAAGAAAAGTCGGTACCGACTTGTCGAAATAAAAATACTAGTATAAGTTATGAAAGAAAGCATTCTTGAAAACCTAAATGTATAAACACGGATGGGCATGATTCCCGAAGAAGCATGGGATGTTTGCATCATGTTAAGTGCCAAGGCCCAAAGATTAACACGTTAGGTTTGTAATCATAATTTGCTTAGGGTTTCTAAATAAAGCATCTCTTTTTACTGCACCAATTAATATCAAAAGTCTCTACCTTTTATGTGCATGGTTTTGCTCAATATGCTTCTTTTGACTGTACACACACACACATATATATGTATAGTGTATCATTGTATTTACATCGAATTCATACATCGGTTTTTTTGAGACACGAGGTGGAGCTCCATTTCCAAGTTACAACCTTGCATGGTCGCCCCTTGAAATCAAGAAATACGTTGTTCACAATTTGAAATTTATCATATTTTCTGTGTTTTTCTCTTCTTATTTTTGTATAACATGACGTGTAATTAATAAAAAAAACACATCAGATTTCATGACACCGCTGCGCTCTACATGGTTTCTATAATAAGATTATACTTTTTGTTCGAATATTATATATATATACACACATCCCTATAATCTTAATACTATAAAATCATAAGTTGGTACGGAATATCAGTCTTTTTCTTGGATGAATTGAAGACGCGTGAAAATGCATCGACCGTTGAGAAGCTTGTGGTACGTTGTCTATCATATAATATATATATATATATATATATATATATTATATAATGTGTGTGTGTGTATTATATATATATAGTTCCGTGTCATGTGCGCATATATACGATACGACCACAATCATAACGATTCCCAAAACATTTATCCATTTAATAAACCCTAATATCCAGAAAATTCATCACACCTGATCTGATCTCATATTTTATTTCCTAAAATACTCAACTTCATCCACATATCATTACCTAAAATACGAATATCTCGACAATATATATATATATATACATGTGTGTGTGTGTGGATGTATTGCTGGCCACCAGATTAATTTGCCCAACAACGAGTCAAAATTAGGCCAATCCAGTTCAATTCCAAGGCCCATGTAGTCACTGTCCTTTTCCCATTCCAATCTGAAATTGCAGCAACTTTCTAAAATAAGCAGATATTTAAAAATAAAATAAAAAATCCAACAAACCATGTCTGAATTTCCGGTTTGTCTGAACTTGAAGCACAACACAACACAGAAAGATGACCAAAAATTCAGATCTCTTTCCTCATATCATTTATAATGGACTGCCTAAAGCTGCTTCAAAGCATCATCAATGGCGTCAGAAAATTTTGTAAAAAAAAAGGGGGGGGGGGGGGGGG